AATCTATATATGCTCAAGATCTGCGTCCCACTTGTTGAAAACCACTGGTCTAAATTACATTTCGCCCAACAAAGAACCCGTCTCCCTCCTTCAAGCCACAAAGTTTCTTTCAAAATCAGACAATACAAACGGTCCATCACAGAATTCTAAACACTGGTAAGCCAGTCGGCAGCCAGACTGGCTTTATCCTTATCCAGGACAATTGGGATGTCCTGACATCTCACGAAATTCATGTCTTAGAGCATGCTGGCTCTTTTAGACACCCACAGAAAGCCAAGCTGTCTGAAAAGGGGATTTACAGCCAGCTGGACTCCTCTTAAGAAAATACACAAGAGAGAAGTGAAGCTCTCTTCCTTGAAGAGATCAGATACCCAAATCCAGCCTGAAGGGAAGTATCTCCCTCCACTCGCGAGGCATCACCGAACTTTTCATAGTGCTTGGTGCCTAAGCCAGATCAGCTGGTGGAATCAGGGTCATTCTTGCTGGAGTCACACACTGAAGTGCAGAATCATTCTCCCATGCCTAATGAGTACCCAAGGACATGTAGGCTTAAGCGTACTCTCAACAGGCTTAAGAAATCTTTCCTCTGTCCTGCAGAAGGTCTTGCTTGTGGGCATCATAGAATCATAGAATGGTTTGGGATGGAAGGGACCTCAAAGATTATCTAGTTCCAAATCCCATGCCATGGGCAAGGACACCCTCCACTACACTAGGCTGCACAAAGCCTCATTCAACCTGGCCTTGAACACTTCCAGGGATGGGGCATCCACAACTTCCCTGGGCAACCTGTTCCAGTGCCTCACCATCCTTAGTGTAAAAAATTTCTGCCTTATATCTAATCTAAATCTCCCCTCTTTCACTTTAAAGCCATCACCCCTTGTCCTATCACTACACGCCCTTGGAAAAAGTCCCTTTCCACTTTTCTTACAGGCCCCCTCTAGGTACTGGAAGGCTGCAATAAGATCACTCCGGAACCTTCTCTTCTCCAGGCTGAACAGCCCCAACTCTTTCAGCCTGTCTTCATAGCAGAGGTGTTCCACCCCTCGGATCATCTTCCTGGCCCTCCTCTGGACCTGCTCCAGCAGCTCCATGTCCTTCTTGTGTTGGGGCCTGCAGAGCTGAACACAGTATTCCAGGTGGGGTCTCACGAGAGCAGAGTAGAGGGGCAGAACCCCCTCCCTCGGCCTGCTGGCCACGCTTCTTTGGATGCAGCCCAGGATACGATTTGCTTTCTGGGCTGCCAGTGCACATTGCCAGCTCATGTTGAGCTTCTCATCCACCAGCACTCCCAAGTCCTTTTCCTCAGGGCTGCTCTCAATCCATTGTTCACCCAGCCTGTACTTGTACTTAGGATTGCCCCGACCCATGTGCAGGACCTTGCACTTGGCCTTGTTGAACTTCATGAGGTTCTCACAGGCCCACCTCTCCAGCCTGTCCAGGTCCCTCTGGATGGCATCCCTTCCCTCCAGCGTGTCCACACCACGCAGCTTGGTGCTGTCAGCAAACTTGGTGAGGGTGCACTTGATCCCACTGTCCATGTTGCTGACAAAGATGTTAAACAGCACTGGCCCCAGTACTGACCCCTGAGGAACACCACTTGTCACTGGCCTCATCATCCTGGGTGTGACGCCAAACTGACCAGTAGCCTCAGGATCTGAGTGACTCCACACCAGGCTGCTGGCAGAAGGGTGAGCACACAGAGATTCTGCACTCCCACAAGTGTTAGGAACACTTGCTCTCTCAGAGTTCAACCTGAGGCATTTCTTACCTAAGCCCTAGGGACCTAACACTTACATGTACCCTGGTAATCTGCTGGTTCAACTTGCAGACCTGACTTAGTCCTAATTTATGGAAGGTGAGTCATAGCAGGCAACATAACATGACCATGCACATGCTGACAAATGTTTGCATTATTCTCTAACTGTTCTACTAGTTGGCTGAAGATTAGCAGAGACTGAATTTATTTCGTTTCTCGCTTTGAACTAACACATTCTATTCGATGAGAAATCTGCATTTGCTAAGTGAAAAACTGCACATTTTGAAATTACGTATCCTTCAATTATAGAACAAAGGTGCTGTTTAGAGCTAAGATTTTTTTTGTGAACATCATATTGCTAAAACCCACAGCTTTTGCGCAGATCTTTCTCAGTCTCTCTGTTGGAGCTACAACACTCCCCCCTCCACACTAATTAAAATTAAAAAAAAACAAACCAGCTTAGACTTTGCAGCCTGTAGAACTGGCTAATTTTCAATCTGCTTCTGGTTTGCATAGCAGGGAATGGCACAGAACAAGTTAAAACCACCAGTACTGCTCAGAATACTCGACTCCCCAAGACAAGGTCTGACCCTAGGTATCTGGGGAGCCTCAGCCTTCATTATTTAACTTTTTTCTATTTTTGTTGTCTAAAACAGAAGGCCTAAAAAGAGAAGTTTGGGGCTGAATGTTTTGTTTGAGAGAGAATAAAGTGTCTGTGCAAGAAAACTGAAAGGAAGAGGTTTTTATTTCAGCCTGGCTGCCAGTTGTACCCAGGCATATTGCCTGCAAATCTCTGCATATGAAGACAGAAGCACCTTGCTTAACTACCCTTCTTAGTCCTCTTAGCTGAAAACAGCTTAGTGCCTCT